TGGTCCTCTCCGCACTTATCTAGCCAATGTCCAACTCATAGATGATGCTATTGGCTTAATTAAATTAGGGGAGGACCAGGTGAAAATGATGTTTGATTAATAAAGTAGCAGCGTCTGATCAGTTATGCAGCATGGCTGGGCTCCAGGAGACCGGAACTGTTTTAATTAGGAACACAACTAGAGCTATCTCTAAGAAACAGGGAGAAGCCCAGATGGTTAAAGGGCATTGGTTAAAGGGCTATGAAGGAAATTAGGGACTGAAGTTGAAGAAAGAGTTTTTAGCTATGGACAAAATAATTCCCTAAAGCTCTTTGGCCTACAAATAATCCTTAAACCTTGCTATCAACATTACAAAATGAGCTGTTGAAAATCATTCCTGGGCAGGGGAAATGAAACCCCAAAGGATATAGATTATTTTTTAATTGCTCAGAAATAAACAGTAAGACTCAGAGGAAATTGTGGTCCTTTTTAAGCAAAGAAACAAGATTGCCTGTATGTAAATCACTCTAATACATTCAACTCAAAACTTTCAACTCTCTTGAGACTCAACTCAATTGAGACTGACCGGTAACTATCCACCTTAGTCAAGATGCATAAAATAGCCAGGTTGGTTGTCCCCAGAATCTAGATTTTTGCTCTTATAGAGAATATGGCTGCAGTCTGAATCTTGGATATAAATTTTTAAACTAGAAAATATATTTAAAAACTGAAAAGATGAAGAAAGGACAAACACCAAGTAAATCTGATCAATAGTTATTTTAATTACTAGGGACCCATTAATTTTTTAACTCTCTTCTGTTGAGTATGTCCATATCTAGTTAATATTTAATTCCTCCCCATGTAGTAGTGAAGTTTCTTGTTTCTTTGGTTTTAGTTTTTGGGTTTTCTGTTTGTTTTTACTTTGTAGCTTTATCTTTTTTCTTCATCATTTTTTTGTTTCCTTTATGGTATGGAGTGTTTTAGTATTTTGAGTAGTTGTTTTAAAAGCATTAATACTGGATCTCACTTTATTTGTAAAAATTAGATTTCAATAATCTTTACAGTTTTTTTAATATTCCAAAACTATGACTCAATGATTCTATATATAATCATGAGATCTGGCTTTTGAAACTTTTTTTAAAGGTTATTGAAAAGAGGGACAGAAAGTTTTTCCTTTTTTTTTTAAATGTCTTTTATAATTGCATGGCACAAATGTGAATTTGAATGTTCCTTATGTCTTAATATGAATTTTAATGTGATGACAGGAGTTGTGCTAGAATTGGCCAACAACTGTAGGGAGAAGGGAGACTGTAACTCAGTCCTGGAAGGGTAGTTCCTGTGACTCAATGTGCAGTAGAAAGATGATGCAGAGGAGGCAGGTGCAGTGGGCTCCCAGCATGTCGTGGGCAATGTGATGGCCCATCTGGAAAGGGCTTTGTTGGAATGGGCCAGTGGCAGGTGTCAGAAACAGGATAGCCCCCTCTCTGAGGGTATCTTCCAGAGGGAGTTGGGATAAAGCTGAGTGTTCCTCTAAATAATCCAAATAAACTAAGAGACGGCGGGGGGGGTGGTGGAGGAGAAGAGAGAAAGAAAGACAGGAAGGAGGGGACAAAGAAGAAATGAAGTACACTGTGAAGCATGAAGGAAAGAAAAGAACCAAGAATAGAAGGGAGAAGGGACACATGAGTTAATGAAATGTTTGAATCCACGTTAGCAATTAAAGACTAAAAAAATCCTGTAATCTAGAAATTTAATTCTTCTAATCTTATTTTGGTAACTAATTGAATGTGACACCCATTTTTTCATGGAAAATCTACTAATTAATAGCATACAATTTGGGGGGTGCTGGTATAGGCATGTAGTGAACAGGGATACTAGAGAGAGGATGTAAAACCATAGCGAGGGAATTTAGATTTATGGTGATTCTTTTTGGGTTGTTATATTATTCCTTTGGGTTATAGGAATACTTTTTGGGTTATTTCAATCCTATGATTAGAACAGATTTGTAGTCAAATAATATCCACATTTGGGAAAACTTGTATATTATATACACTCATGCCTGCTCTTCTTATAGTCCTATTTCTATTCTTTACTTCTACATAAGACTCACTGTGTCTGTGTTTAGTAGAAAATCATGTACACTCTTCGTTTACTAAGCACAAATGTGTACTTTCCAATAATTAAAGAAAAAGACCTTTCAAGAAAAAACATTAGTAAAAATTAAGGCTAACCTAGTGCTTGGCAATGGCAGATGTTCTAGAAGGACTGAATAATTTGCTTCTTCTGGGTAATTTAACACAATCTATATGTATGTATTAGGCAATAGAAATATTTATCCAAGCAAACCTTAAATGCTCCTAATGAAATTATTTGTTCAGTTGTCCTGGGGTATCTCATGTTGTAATGAGATTTGGGACAAGAAGGGCAGAAGTGGTTAGTCCTAGAATTCGCGCAGGTCATGTTAAACAAAGTACATAACTTTCTTTTACATTTTCTGCATGCGTTAAATATGTTATTCATACTTAGTCCCTTACAGTGTTTCTTCAATTTGTGAGGATTAATGAGATATTACAGCAACTGTTTGTTAGATCTTGCATTTTCTGTAAGTTTAACTCCCTTTTACTAAGACCTTTCACCTGTGCTAAATTGTATGAGGAATGTTTTATATGAAAAACTAGAAAGAAAATGATAGACTGATTTGTTTATAAAATGCTGATGGGAAGGATCGTGTATGTGTGTTGGAGTGGCAACTCTTAAAAAGAAGAGGGCTTGTTAATGACTTACAGCACTCCTTGCCATTATTCTGCAGATATATCAGCAAGAACTCTATTTTGACTTTCAAATACCTGACTTTGACCAGAATAATAGGCAAGGACGGTGTTAAGAAAAGCTATTCTTTCGATTATAAAATTTGATTTTACTAATTACTTACAAAGTAATAAAGACAGTCCTCATCATCCCAGTCTTAAAGAAATGCAGTTTTATTTTATCTATATTTACTTAGCCCATTATTATAAATTTGATTTGATTTATTACATATTTCTTTGCCCACTATGTCCTTTGATGAGCAGAGTATCCAAGACAAGGTGATGAGAAACAGTTGCATGAGAAATCATTTCATGTCCAGCCCATATGTTTGCACAGCTCAACTATTGAATTGCTCTTTTAGTCAATCATCTTGTCTCTCTTTTCACTCTCAAACAACTTTTAGTTTGTGATAATCAAGGCTCTTTATGTGAACTCCAGGATTTTTTTCTTGCTTACCATCAGAAAAGAGTAAGGGCAAAGTCTTGTCTAAAGGAGATCCACACAGGCTAAGGCTGAAAAAGAAATACGATGCCAATAGAATTTTCCCAAGTCCCTTACAAGAAACTAAAGCTTCTACTGCAGTCAAACTGCCCATAGGGCATCCCTTAAACACTTCTTGCTGGCATATGTTCTCTCTCTCCCACCATACCTTACCTTAACTGCCTTTCCCTCTCTTCTCTGCTTATACAAATCTGCCCCTTCAGAGTCCACATCTACTCGGAAGTGTTCTTGGACAATTCCGTCTGGAAGAAATAACTCCCTCTGAATTTATATAATGCCTAGCTGTCGGTCCCAGTGAGAAAGGTAGTGTGCAGAAAAAAAAAAAAAATCCTGGACCAGTTAGTCTAATATTTTATCATTTACTAGATATGTAACCTTGAGTAAATTGACTAACTTCTTGTAACACCCTCAATCCTCATCCTTAAAAGAGAGTAAGGTCTATACCATATCTCCAACATGTTGTCAGGATAAAATGATGTTATGTTTGTGAAATGTTTGGTATATGGTAATTGATTATACTTAGGCAAAGTATCTGTTTTTTTTTTTAAAGATTTTATTTATTTATTTGACAGAGAGAGAGATAGCTAGAGCAGGAACACAAGCAGGGGGAGTGGGAGAGGGAGAGGCAGGCTTCCTGCCGAGCAGGGAGCCCGATGTGGGACTCAATCCCAGGACCCCAGGATCATGACCTGAGCCGAAGTTCAGACGCTTAACGACTGAGCCACCCAGGCGCCCGGCAAAGTTATCTGTTTTATTTCCACCAAATTCAGCTATGATGATCAAAATTCTGGTAATACTAATTTGCTTTCATGTATGTTTTTCTTATTGCCTCAACCTAATTGAAAGTATATTTACTTTTTCTAATGATGAAAGTAGTAGGTGTTTATCAGAAAATGTTAAAAGTACACCCAAATATAAAAATGAAAATCTAGTATAATGTCATTACTAGAAAATAACCAGTAATCTGAGAAAAAAATCACTATTAACATCTTTTCTTATGCCATATATATATCACAGTTCTTGTATATGTATGTATATGTTTGTGCCTTTGTACATAACTTTGCTCACTTATCAATGTGTCCTATGAATATTCGTGTTCTCCAGCTGTATTTTTACTTACTCAATGTACTTGAGTAAGTAAAATTTCTGTCACATCTGGCTAAGCACATAGTACTATGCCTTGGGTAGAAAATGTTAAATAAATGGGCTTTATTCACAGAATGATTTAAAGGACTTTATTATTAACTATAAATTATTATTTTTTATAGATTTTATTCTTTTAAGTAATCTTTACCCCCAATGTGGGGCTCAAGTTCACAACCCTAAGATCGAGAGTCACACACTCTACCAACTGAGCCAATCAGGCACCCAGTATAAAATTATCTAAAACAGGACTTCCACCTTTAAAGATAAATTTGTGGTCTTTTTTTTTTTTTTTAAGATTTTGTTTATTTATTTGAGACAGAGAGAATGAGAGAGAGAGAGAGCTCATGAGAGTGGGGAGGGTCAGAAGGAGAAGCAGACTCCCTGCCGAGCAGGGAGCCTGATGCGGGACTCGATCCAGGGACTCCAGGATCATGACCTGAGCCAAAGGCAGTCGCTTAACCAACTGAGCCACCCAGGCACCCCAAAGATAAATTTGTGGTCTTACTGATGAACTGAAGCCACCACACATGACACTGACTCTTCCTTTTCCTTTCCTTTCTGTTTAGTTTGTTGCTCAGCCCAATTGTCAACAACTGCTTGCATCTCGCTGGTACGATGAGTTCCCAGGCTGGAGGAGACGGCACTGGGCAGTGAAGATGGTGACGTGTTTCATCATAGGACTTCTTTTTCCTGTCTTCTCTGTGTGCTACCTTATAGCTCCTAAAAGCCCACTGGGACTGTTCATCAGAAAGCCATTTATCAAGTTCATCTGCCATACAGCGTCCTATTTGACTTTTTTGTTCCTGCTGCTGCTTGCCTCTCAGCACATCGACAGGTCAGACTTGAACAGGCAAGGTCCACCACCAACCATCGTCGAGTGGATGATTTTACCGTGGGTCCTGGGTAAATGTGTTACTATAGAAAATATAATAAAAACGTGTTGCTGCCATGGAATTTCGTTGCCCAGAAAAGAATAGTCATTAAAGTTTTGGACGTAGGCATACTTAAAACCGGTCCTGACCATTGTAGCTCCAAAGCCTAATCCCCAAAGCTAAATGAATGCCTTGCAAGTTTTGGGGGACTTGCCCCCAGATGCAGCCTATGAAATGTAACCATAGGTTTTAGGATTTGTGATTTCAATGACTTCACATCCCATGAATGATTTTCTGGGTTTTTTGTTTGTGTGCTTGTCTTTTAAAGACTTTCAACATTTCTCACTGGCTATATATCACTGATCATTCTAATTTTCTTAATAGATACACCTTCTAAAAGACAAATATAAATCACTCTGCAGAACTAGTGATTCTATACATAAAGTAACTATAACCATTCTTTAAAATCAATCCATTAAGTTTATCTTTGAAATTACATATTCAATCAAAATAATAGGATATTAAACACTATGACATCCTCCAATGTCTCTGTTCTTTCCATAGAAAGAAAAATATTTTGGGATCTGCAGCAAATCTTGGTAAGGTAGAAAACCTTAAAGTAGCTGGTAAAAGCTTTGTTTTCCTCTCTTCTTGTTATTGTAGCCATAGTTAAAATTTACATTTTAATTATTCTTTCCTCTATCTTACTGTGGTTTGCTGAGAAATCACATTTTCCAATTTAGCCCATCATTTTAAACCTCTCTGGTATCATATCCATCTCATCATTTAGTAATTAGAAAATATGTGACAATTTCATGATTCACAGTCTCAGATCAGTTTGGCCTAACTGTCAAAACTACTGGAGAGACTATAAAATGTGGAAAAAGCAGGGGAAAAAAAGGACTATATCTCAATCTGACATAGATATACTCTTTGATTTTAGAGATTATAAATGCTCTAAGTACTGACAATTAAAAAAAGTTCATAGCAATGAGATTTGATATGTTTTACAAATGTACTGGAAAAAAACACCTTCTTAAGCGACCTTTAAAATAGAGTACATTCTCATTAATCTGATATGAATAAAGTGTGATTTTGCTTAAATTAGAAGAAAGGTTTAGATAACCTGTGTTCTTTTTGCATAAAATAATTATGACATTGCAGTTGATATTCAGTATAAGACGACCCTGCCTATTCCCTTTTAAATTAAATATCTCACATTAGGAATATGTTCTTTATGGAGTTTTCTCCATAGAAAATTCATTGGAAACAATTATCAAAGAAGCGTTTAGAGGGTTAAATTTCCCATATGGGTAACTTATATGGAATGTCTAAAAATTCTGATACTCCAAATGAAATACAGAATATTCAATTTTGAACAATGCTACAGACACAGTGAAGCATAAGCAGATATAGTATTTCTAGACTTTTCCTTTATGCAATTAATGAAAATATGTAGAGTAAGTACAGTGTGGGGCAATAGTGATACAAAAGTAAAAAAAAAAAAAAAGAAGAAGAAAAAATTACTTGCCCTTATGAAGCTTTAATTTTACTAGAGGACTAGATAGATAATAAACAATGAGATATGTTGCTTAATGTCAGAAAATGGTAAATAACATTAAAAAATAGAAGCTTTAAACCTTTAGTAACTTGTACAATTAAGACTCATTGGCTGCCTCCTACTTGCAAAACTTGTAACAGAATTTTCCATGAAAGTTGGCTAGAAATTATATCCAGACCATAGCTGAATGCTTAAATAAGGTACACATTTAATTGTGATAATTAAAATTCCAGCCTAGAGAAATATCTTCTAAAGGCAACATTTCCTTAAAATATCCTGACTTCAAGGAGTTAATTTATCTGGGAATTTTTAGGATAAAAAGAGATTTTCTAGAATAAAAAATATATATGAATGATCCTCTTGTTTGGAGAATTTTCTATATCAAATATATCTGTCCAAACAATATATTATTCATCAAAGCTGATGAATTCTAAGAGCCTCCCATCTGACACTGAGTTCTAAGTGTTTTACTAGATCCATAACTATAAAGGGGTACCTGCTACGTTATTAGGCTCTTGTAGAAAACTCACTGTATTTGAATACATGCTCAGGTTCTATCACTGAGAGACTATTAAATTATGGGTGGTCACAACCTCTCAGGACTTTTTAATATTTTCCTCAATAAAATGAAAGATTTAGAGTCTCACTGAGTCCTAGTGTCCTGTACTGGGGAGCAATCATTACTAGGGTAGAGAAAATTGGTCTTTTTTTGACAGGGGATGGGAGGTGAGGAGGAGGCTAAGGACAACAGGGTAGGGATGCTATAGCCTTTTACCAAAGTTGTGATATAGAGGAAAAGGCCAGGTCTGATTCGATAACTCTATTAATGAGCCTTCCATCTTGTCTCATTCAATACTGTGGTCTGACCAAGGAGGTGGTCAAACATTTCACAGTCCCTTTGTTGTGAGGTTCTAGATTTGGAATAACAAGACTGAAAGACTTAGAGAGAAAAGAGTGGCATACAAAGGTGTTCCTCATCCTGTCAATTTTTCCAGTGATAGACTGAAGCTCTATGCAGGGGTTTTTCGCATGTCTTCTTGAACTGACTTAGATTTTCAACCCATGTCACACTGTGAGCTACTTATTGTGTAAAGAAATGCTTTTTCATTCCTACTAAATTTACTCGCCTTCCATTTTCGGGGGATGTTTCCCAGACCTCTGATAACCTAACTTATGAGAAATGATTACTTTTATACCTCCCATTTTTTTATCCTGACAAAAAGACTTTTGATTTATTCATTTTATATAGTCCTAATATAAATTTTAACTTTTCCTGAGTAGAAAAGTTTTTCTAACTGTAAAGCTTAATCTCTCAACTTGATCCCTATATCTCCTTAAGAAGTAGTATGGTTTTGCTTTGGAATTTCTGTTCTTTCAGAAACTTTGCTGTGTTTCAACAATACGAACTTACGTGGTGTGACAGATCCAGATATCTTGTGATTTAGTACAGTGGCAGAATAATGTTTCCCTGTTATTTTCAATATCTTTCCTGTGGAAGTTCAACATCCTGTTGACTATTTAAATTGAGGTCTATTGAGTTTTGTATCTTTAGAAAACAGTCTGCAGTGACCCTTGTATTCTTCCACTGTGGTATCATAGATAACGCTGTAACTCATCTCTTGCAAAACTTTTTGAATGATTTTTCCTTCAGACTTTCTTGTATTGAAGGTTATTGACCCTTCTTTCTCCCATCAAACAACTTCAAGAGATCTTATAGATGTCTGCTGTCAAGATAAACTTTAGCATATAAGCAAAGAAATCTAAAAGCCTCCTGCAGGGGTCAAATTTAGGATTTAGTCATCTTGAGATACAGTCCTAACCAAAAGAGAAAACTAATCACAGATAATTCAGTGAGAACTATCTTGAAAGGTAGATTCTTGACAGACAGACACCAATATACTTCTCAGACTGTCAAATTACCCATTTAAACTAGAGTAAAAAGTAAAACAAAAGTTCTATCAAGCAAGCATAAGAGCCTGATGACAGAGCTATACGTTGCAAGTGTCTGAGAAAAAGTGTCATTGGAAAGACTGGACAATGGATTAAAAGGAGCCTGGGGCCTGATCAGAGACCTGGTTATTTCTATGCTCTGCTGTGCCATGACCCTGAGGCTCTTAATTTATTCAGGGTTTGATTTTTAACATAGAATACCAGGGATATGAAATGAATATTCATGTCAGAAGTTCCCTTTTACATAGAATTTATATGCAAACTAAATATAGGATGTTATATTTATAATGTATAATGAGAATTTATCTAAATTATAGCAGCAGTTCTATCTCAAATAGATGTCATTTGTTTTCTGAAGCTAATAGGGAGTAAAATAGGAGGAAAAAAAACTTTCGAATGCTAATTTTTAAGGCCTTCCCCAAAGCCAGTTTTGATTTTTCTACAAAATCCATTGTAATTCAACTGTAACAGTCAAATCTGTGCCATAGCTTATTCCCTGCAAAAAAAGTGTGCATATAGGTATATGCGTGTGAAATATCAAGAGGTAGACTTATGTTATCAGTTTAGCAAAGAGAAAGCATGAAATTGACATCACTTTACAAAGAAGTAGAATATTAATGAAGGCTATCACGTTAATAAAGCAGGAAATACTTTGTTCTCAATGAGAAGGAAAAATGACTGATGCCTTGACTTGATATTATGTGTGTGCCTAAGAATATGCCATAATTATATAGTATATAAATCTATGCACGCTGAGCGTGATAAGGAGAAGGGTGAACTGAGGAAAAGATGTATCATAGGAAGAAATCTGAGCTCTGTTAAAAATAGCTTCTAGTGAATTCCTAGGCATAAACTAAGAATTGCTCATAATATCCGGATTATACATCTTGCCCATAACACGTACTTATTTGACAATTTTTCTCTAACAAAATCGGCCTCTCATTTCCATGATTTATTTTATATTTTTATCTTTTAAAAGGTTGATATTAACAAATCTGAACATTTCAATAAGGCCTGCCAAATTGCAAATGGAAAAAGAAAACTTGTGATCACATTCTCCTCTAGCTAAAGACTCATAGAGGCAAGCAATTCTATATATGTATATTCTTCCTTTTGACATCTTTTCTACGTCTTTTTTTTTAATTTTTTTATTGTTATGTTAATCCCCATACATTACATCACCAGTTCTAGATGTAGTGTTCCATGATTCATTGTTTGTGCATAACACCCAGTGCTCCATGCAGAACATGCCCTCCTCAATACCCATCACCAGGCTAACCCATCCTCCCACCCCCCTCCCCTGGTTGCTGGAGTGGGGGGTGGGGTGGGAGGGATGGGGTGACTGGGTGATAGACACTGGGGAGGGTATATGCTCTGGTAAGTGCTGTGAATTGTGCAAGACTGTTGAATCTCAGATCTGTACCTCTGAAACAAATAATGCAATATATGTTAAGAAAAAAAAAAAAAAAGGTACATCTTTTGACTAATAGGCTCAGGTACTCATACTCTCAGCCTCCCTC